CAGTTTTAATTGTATGAATTTTATTGTTGTGGTGTGAGTTATGTTTACTAAAGCAACAACTACGTAACACAGTTTTAATTGTATGAATTTTATTGTTGTAGTGTGAGTTTACGTAAGTAGAGTAACGACTAAGAAGCACACGGGATTTTCTAAGATCAAACATTGTTGTGTTTGAATTTGTTCACTTGGGTAACCAAAAATTACACGAATCACGTCGAGATGTTGTTGATCTGCTTCATACCAAAACAAGGACGAAGTGACTGGACTGTTTTTTCTTGTAACAGAGCTGCTACAAATTCAAATTATAAAAAACAACATTTGGAAATCCTTTATTTAATTCCTTTAGTGCATGTTGGTGAACAGAAGACATATTAATACTAGAAATAAACGACCTTATAAAAACAAAATGTATTTTTTTATTTAAATTAGACACTCAACGTTTCAATGTACAGCTTCTTCAGAAATAGAATTTATTATTTAAACCATTTGAAGCTTTGTACTGTCAGTTTGGATTTGTGTTTTAGTGAAAGCTCCCGAATATGCTGTAAAGCATATTTGGAAATTCTTTCTTGCAAAACAAAAACGTGGAATAAAAATAGATTCACTCAGATGATTTTGTATTAACACAATACTTAATAACCAGCAGAATATTCTTTAAAAAGCCATCTCGAAATTATCTTTATTTACTATCTAAATAACAACGTTGTCAAAATTGGTAAGCACTTAATGTCACCTAAACTGTGATTAATAGTTTCTATTAAGTGTTTTTGTTTCTGCCTTTAATTCGTTGACGAAACGAAAGGTTTTATTAATATCGACGCACGTTGTATATGCTCAAAGACAAACAGCAACGTTCACCTTTCACTGGCGATACTGCCTTCATTAATCGATTAATCCTGTCAAACATAATGAGTTTTGAAAATAAAATACTTGAAGTAAGAAGAGACGAAAATCTAGAGAAGTCACCAGGAAACATTGTCGCGTGATTCAAAGAGCTTCTACATAGAACTTTGAATTTAAGAACACCTCAGAAAATCATTACAAAACTACACTTTACAAACCTGGGTATTGAATGATGGTCACGTGATACGCGCCATGTCTGTCGTGCTACGAAAGCAGCAGAAATTATTGATACCTTAGCTGGCCAAAGCTCCTCTGCTTCAAAGTAACAGCAGAGTGCATGTGTGACCATGAAGCCGCCCTTCTCAGGGGCGGTTATCGACCTTGAAGGACTCTTCCCTGCAAAAGAAGATCAATAGCAGACACAAAGAGCAGTTGTTCCCATTTTTAAATGTAAAAGGCTTACACCAAGGCGTGAACTTGTCTTGTGAACGAAAACATTGGTTCACTGAACTTTTATTGTATTGTTTGTGTGTGTGTGTGTGTTTTAAAATAATGGAATGCTGAAGTGAAAGTAACATGACTGAGAAACATACATAAATACATACGATAAAATTAAAGCTAGGTAAAACAGACAACAAAATAACGAGCGTATCATTAAAACAATGACCTAACTAACAATAACATCACTGATATTATAATTATGAAAAAGATGTAGCTCTCGAAATGTTTTATTATTCAATACAAATTATGTGTTAACGTTGCAAGACTATGATCAAAATATTTTCTGCTTTGCAGTACATAGCTCAGATAGCATTACCGTTACGATAGATATAATTAAAAAAAAACATTTCAATGGGATCTTTTGTTACAATAATTAACAGTTAATGTAGCATTGTTACGAATATTACAACTAAAGTTATTAAGTGGTGCTTAATAGCATAATCCTCTGCTTTATTTTACTAGTTAAAAGCATTGTTTGTGGGTATTAAAAAAATATGTGAAACAATAAAAACCATTAGGCCTAATAATTATGATAAAAATAAGGTAGACTGCAAATTTGTTTGTAACTTTCCTCTTAGTTAGTCTTTAACAGATTTTAACGCAGAGGCCTGTAAAAATAACATTTGAGGTCTACCTTTTGTCACTACCCAGGACGCCTTTCGTTTATTCAGACCTCGTCAGCTAGGCTGGACGTACGGCATCCAAGAGTCTGTCTGAAATAATATTTATACTTAGTAGGAAAAAAAACAGTGTTACGATGGAAGCTATCGAATCAATGGAGAGACCATTAGGCCTAATAGTTATAACAAAAATCGCATTAGACTATAGATTTGTTTCACAATATTCCTAATTAGACCATCATAGAATTCAAATCAGAGGCGTATGAAAACTAACATTTCAAATATTTATTTTATCTGTCACAATTCACTGCTCAGAAGGTCTTTCTTTTAATACCAGAAAAGTCGTCAGGGACAACCATTTAGCATAGCAACATAAATTTAT